TCGTTAGTCCGCAAGCCCGTGCTCTATAGCTTCAAGTGATGTTGGTACATGTAAACCTGTTAATTTGTTGCTCAATTTTTTGAATTAAATTTTTAACTGATGGCAGGCCAAACGTCTCAAAAATGAAAGGGGCTCACAAGGAGAAAAATTATCAAGTGATGCAGAAGGGCGCTTTTAAGGACTCTTAAAAAGACCTTATCGTTAGAACTGACCCAGTCGATCCAATCGACAATTGACATACTCATCTCTTAAACGACCGTTCATATTTATATTAAAAACTGCTTTTTGGGCCATTTTCATTAGTTTTCTAGCTATTTAAATCTAAATTCTATTGAGAATCTTCAAGTTTGCTTCACCAAAGTCCTTTGATTTTTTTTTTCAGTAATGTAGGCTATCATCTGGTACCAAAAATAGTGGAGTTTTTCCTAAGCGGAAATCCTAATCCTAAATTGGGATAAATTTAGGCGGTCTGTTTTTCGTTACGGGAATGCGTCTATTCGCTATTCCTTCCACGAGAAGACAGCAGTTGTTTTTTTTTTACAACAAGCCCATCGTAGCAAATATAAGTACGTCGTTTTCGGAGTTTAAGCGACTATTAGCTACTTCTATGCTTGCTTTTTACCCGAAACCAACAGTCTACATTTTTTGCCAGTTTTTTTAAGGCTTCCGAAGAAGCTTTCTACAAGGAAAGCTGGAAAATCTTATATAGGGCATAGATTTAAAGTACTAAAAAATGGTCACAATGGATTAAAATATCATCTTTGATTCGAATCGTGGACGGCTCTTTTGGGGGGTACTAATATAATACTTGCCCAGATAAGTTTCTGTTTGAAACTTCATTTTGCTCCTTTTGGTTGTTTTGAACTTCTGTATGTTTGGGAGTATTAATCTGTTATCACCTCAAAATCTATTTCTGGTGGAGTATTTTGTACCTAGCATATTTGAGTGATACTTCAATGACCATTGAACAATAACTTGTTGATTAATTAGAGAATATTTCGAAAACTACTCGAGTATGGTTTAGATTGACTTGAAGTGGTTGAGGAGTATTGAAGCTGTAGCCTCAGTAAACGGTTATTTCATTGAATAAACATGAATGTATCCACCATGGAATGATGCCTTTAGTACATGTGTATAGATATGACTTTAAGAATAGAGCATTAAAAAAAAGTCCTAATTTAGAAGACGTGCCCTGAGAATACACATATCGATTTTTATACGTTTTGAGGTCTAGGAAAGAACGCTGTCATTGAAAAAGATACTAGCAAAATCTGAACTAGCAAAATCAGTGCGACACGGGGTGCTAGGTCCAGGCTCGCGTTCGTCTATCAGAGTCACCTGTTGCCGTTGCTGTGTCCTCTGATTCGTGTATTGTTTGCTTCAGAACCTTTCGGCATTCAGGCCAAGACGATGACGACGACATTTGCCGTTTCCCCTGTTGTCGCTACGACAGCCGCTGCAACTGTGATTGTCGACATCTGGCAAACATACATCAGCGGCAGCCGTAACAACGAACCCCAACCGCCCAATCAAACGAAGTGGCCAACTCGAAGAAACAACCCAAAAAACGATACTATAGCTCTGACGTTAAAGACATCGGTTGAGGCTGGAGCATGGCGGTGTGACCCAACGATATAATGCGACTAACTAGCGCAAAAAAATGTATGCAAAAATAAGGTAAAGGTAGGTTGAAAAGAGAAATAAAATATAAACCATTTGCTAGAAATCGACCCGCTCGACTAAGCGGGTTCGTCAAAATACAGGGCGTGAATTGTGTGATTCGTATAAATTCTATTAAATCTCATTGTGTCTCATTAACCGCACACATGTCTCCTTTAAGTATACCTAAATAAACCACTAAAAGGACTGTTCAAATATTTTCAGTTTACAAATAGTCAGTCCCCTTTAGTCAGCTAGGGTGACTTCAACCTGAATTGAATAACACTTCAGAATCATCGTTTAGTTTTGTTGCTGCTAGACATCTGCATTTAGCCTTTGATTTAGGTTAGAGCAATAGATACTAGTGTATCTCATAGTTCAGCTATTGAAGGTGGTTAAATTTAATCTTCAAAAGCGTTACATGTCGGCATCGGACAATTTATTGATGATTATAAGCTGGTATATTTTCTGTAGGAAGGGAAGGCGATTAATTTATTACTGTTAGTACTATCATTCCGCAGAACTCAATTCAAAGAAAAACGGACTAGACCTGATCGATTTACCCCCGATCTCCTCAAGGCATCAACGCACTGCCATTGTAAGAGGTAAAAAGCTAGTCATATCATCGAAAACTAGTAAAAGACGGGGTCGAATGTTTAATATGTATGTTCAACAACTTGATAATAACCATGCGTTATTTAGTATGTGTTGTGAATTGCTTCTGTTCAAATTGTGCCCCGACATATCGGCAATTTACTGCCAGACGCTTTATTGGTATTATCATATTTAGGCAATGAAAAGTCGAAATATCGGACAGATGCATCGATAACAATCACACCTATTTCTTTTCAGCAAAATAAAGATTATAGGCTTTTTATCCGCTCGCTTGGTAGCTTAATAAGCAACAGTATAATTTTTCCTTTTACCACCTCTACTGAAGGCAATAGGCAAGAGGATCTGGCCTACTTAGTACGAACAAGGAGAGTTTCAATGTGTAGTACACAAGATTACCCTATATACGTCCATGTGGCCCTCTACGTCTGAGCATAGTCGCCGTTAGATGTCGTTTTAGCCGATGCTCCATTTTACTGCAGTTCAGGCCAAGCACAGAGTTTATCGGGCTCCTGTTCACCCACTAGAAGGACCATATCGTGGTCATCGTTAGTGCTGAAGATGAGGCCGCTGATGTTAGACTGCTAGGCCGGACTACTAGGCAAGAGGAGTATTTTTTTCGCCTCGAGCCGCTGCCGGCGCGTGGCGACTATGGCATACACCTGTCACTCGTGCTGGCCGCTTCTGCTGCTGATGCGCCCATTGCCTGCAGTGCCATCTGTCAAGCGGCATTTGCCTATTACGAACGACAGACGGATGAGAGCTACAACGCGGTGTGCGCAACGATACTGCAGAAACAATGAACGCAACCGTAACGACAAGAGCAGCGGACCGTCAGGGCAATTGACTTGAAGATCTGTACGTTGTCGTGCTTCCGGCTCGTGCCGTACAAATGACGCTCACTTGGTGCGCACGCCGTAGACAATGTATTTACTAACCACAGGATCGGTGGAAAAGAGCTTAACTGTAGGTAACAGGGCATATTGACGGGACTCTCCACTGATATTTTTCAAGTGTATCCTCATCGTATGCTCGCATACGTATTAAATTAACCTAATTTAAACTATTTTAGATATTAGTTCAGATAAACATCTGGCTTGCCAATGATCTAAATCAAAACTATCCAAATCAATGTATAATTCTAAATATTGTGTATGAATAAACCTGTTATGTACCATTGGTGTTGTCTAGTCTTCAAGCCACAGGGGGTCTATGCTGTAGTCATTCAAGCTTACCCCAGCTTTCTGCTAACCAAAGACTATTCAGTCATTTTCGGTTCTAAGTTGCGAATTAATTAAAATCAGTGCATAAATGACTACTTGCTAAAAAAAAAAAAGTTATTCAGTATAACTAGCGCTCAGTGACGTTGCGTTGCGTTATTGTGCTACATTGTATGCGCAATTAGTAACTCTTCGATGGTACGCCGTTGCCTATTTCTCGATACCAAGGAGAGAACTACGCCAGCAAAGTTGCGGATGTTAAAGGTTCATCTTTTCAACAAATTTTTAGGACCTTTCTGGATAGACATTTGCGAAGTAGAATTTCCGTTACGGAGGCAGATATCGTTAAAGTATATCTTTATAGTCAGTTAAACACTGCCATTAGGACCTTAGAAAATTCCACTTATAAAATTGAATACTTAAGGCTCAGGTCATATCCGCCCCTTGGAGTGTATTTAAAGGTTTTGGTATATCCAAGCTCGTCGGTTCGGTCGTTCGGTAACAATTTTACATGTCCAAGAGGCTCACCGTTGTAGCTTACTGAATTGGGCCAGGTTTATATTAGTTTATATGTTTGGATCTGTTTTACTTATTCACTGCTTACAACTGCGCTTCTTCAGTTTTTGATACCAAAATCCGTCTACATGTGGCAACGCATTTTCTCAGGCTATGTAACTCTTCTTACACCCCCGTATCGAGTAAAGCCACTTTCGAACGTTGAGACTTAAGATCCCCTTCACATTTTCGCTTTCTTTTCTACCAACTCCCCCACTTAATGAAGAGGCCCCAAATTAGCTGCGCTGCTCACGAGCCAGCCGGGTACGACCAGGTAGCCACCAGAAGGACGATAGTAAGGTAGCTGCTGGTGAAGCACGCGCGGACTGAACTCGTGGCTTGTTTGAAACACAGGCTGCGTGAGCATCGCGGTTCTTGATCAAATCCGTAGAGAAACGGACGTACACCAAATACTCCTGTTCTCGAAGCATAAATACGGCTCTTGTCTAGATTGTTGTTTCGATTTATGCGTTCAGAATTTTGTCGTCGTCGTCGTCGTCGATGTTTCTCTCGTTATTCCTGTCGTTTTTCGCTCGTATTTTTTTTTCTTACTCGTTGCGAGAGTTTGCTATTCACTGTTTGCTTCTGTGGGTTAGGCAGAAAGCCAAAATTCGGTTCTGCTGCTGATACTTCAACATCAGCCCCAGCAACTGTTGATGCTTTTTCTGTTGCTGCTGTAGCTTCTGCTAACGTGGTCGGCATTACTGCTCGACGTATGGCTGTCAGCTGCTGTGGCCGGTGCAGATCGGTGCGGTGACCGCATGATGTGTCACCAGCACACCAAGCGTGACGCTCTGCCTCCCTCACCCCAAAGAGATGGAGGCGGGCGGGCGGACGGACGGACAGGCAGGCAGGCAGGCAGGCAGGCCTGCTGCTGGAGTTGCCGATGATGAAAACCGAAAACGACAGCAAAAGCAATGCGCCAAAACAACGTCAATGGGGGCGGCGCTCCAGAGGTCCACCCCCGACTCTTCAACTCCCGTAGCAGTCGCTCAGTGCCACGATGACGGTGTCAAGATGGACCGAAGGAACACTTACACTTGACCGGCCATCGGCTTTGGCCATAGCCACTGCAATACACAATCTTGAGGCGGCCAGGCCATCCACCCTGAGAAACTGGGGGAGCTATCGTTAACACTCAGGAGCAGCAACAGTAGTAAGCAGTGCGTGACGTGTGTTTTTCACTACAACACCAACAGAAGTTCGTGGCTCATAGTGAGTCTCGTGTGGTCTTCGCAAATTCGTTCGTGGTAAACTATATTTATTTAATCCATACCTAGTTAACCTGTGCTAAAAACTGAATAGCGTGCGTCCATCGAGCTAATGCTGTAACTAATCTGGTTATACAATCTAATTGCCCTATCAAATTCGTGTCTGGTGTGGTAAAGTCCTGCAACGGTAGAACAACATGTCAGTGGATCTAGAATCTCCACCCTTAACAACAACGCTACAAGCGAACTCAACGCCAAAGAAAATGAGAGGTGACGTCGTCAGATCGTACTCGCTTGATGACAGTTCGGAGGATTTCGATCAAGCCGATTTTCTTGACGATCGTCTTAGTTCACCATTGAAGGACATTCCTCCCGAGGACTGGCTAACGCGAGGTAACCATGACCGCGATTATAAACGACTGGACTTTTCCTGGTCAGACGAGCATACGGTCCCTGATCTCGCAGGGCCAAAAAAGAAACGCAAGAAAAAGAAGAAGTCTCCAATGACTCAATATGGCAGGATGGCAGCAAACGCACGAGAACGTCGAAGGATGCACAAGCTCAATGTCGCCTTTGACAGGCTCCGCGAGGTCGTCCCGTCGGTCAGTGACCGTCAACTATCAAAGTACGAGACACTCCAAGTTGCTCAAAGTTACATCCATGAACTGGCTCAACTTCTACAAAAACACTAACTGTATTTGCCATTTGGCCTGCTATTCGTTAATGCTGAAAATATAATAGCAAAGGTGCCCAATATGACAACTATTAATGGGTAGTCTTGCTTGAACGATTCGCTTAGCCTCTGTCAGAAAAGAGCTCAGTGTTATTTTGCCATGCGTGAAATCTGCTGTCTATGGACTGTATATAAATCTATGAAGTGTGTGCCCCTCATCAAACGGTCACGAGCGAACTCGATGTCCCGTAGTAATACAACCCGCGATACGATTATAGGTAGATTATTTATTTTCTATATATATACACGTAGATCTGCATTGGATTATTGCATAATGCATAGTATTTGCATCGCGCAATAAAAAATCTAAATAGTTATTATTAACTAACCCAGAACCCATCAAATAGAGCACATGTTTGTTCTAATAATACTCGCATTAATAAACGTCGTAGTAATAACAATAATGGTTGTTATTCGAACAACACGAGCAATAGTTCTAAGGCCCGAACTGGCACAATGCTATATATCTATCCACCTGGAGCAACGTATCTTCGAACGTCTATTGTACATAGTACATCGTCCAAATACTATAGCCGCCAAGTTACTGCTGTTTATACTTCCGGTTCTGTGTATGTATTATATATCTTAGCGACAACAGCTGGATTGCGATTTGAATAAATTGATGGTCTAATGCTAACAATGGCAACCACCTTGAACTTTTGTGTCGTTATTAAGTAACATCCGCTCAGATGTGTGTCGGATTACAGAGTCGTCTTGCTCGCGTTCCGCCAGCAGCGGTTGACTGACGGGGCAAATGCCTAGTTCAGGACAACACCTTCGACGTCACACGTAATGAACCAGTACAAAACCAGGCCATATGCGTCCTCAAAATGCTATCCCAAGACACTTGATGCAGCAAGTAAGGTTCATACGTTTACCGACATTTTCTCATAGGCCCTCTATCTATATGTCCTAGCCTACGGTTAGAGCCACGGCTAGTTTTTACCATTAAAATCTCTCTTTTACTACTTTTTCTCTCTAGACACGGAGCGGCACTGGACAAATATTTGAGAGTACGCATAGGAGTAGATCACCCTATTAACAGTAATAATCGAGACGCGCGTCTGACTAGTTTCATCGAGCAGACTCCTCTTCGTTTTGTGGCTGTACTTTACCCTGTTCGATAATACTAACCATTCATATAGGATGGTAGCTATTAGGTCAACGAAACTAACTTGAAGCAAGTTATACGTATCCATTAGGACCAAAAATGTCATGCTATGTTAATCCCGAAACGTATACGTAGTTTAACTGGAACACCTAACCCTTTCGTGTTACAAGCATTTAACTATTACTGAACCGTCAAAACGCTGAATGCTAACGGCTCAAAGTAGTGCACAAAGGGGACACGGTACGTTTCAGCGCGCCATATATCAAAACGCGTTTACTCGCTTTTCATTGTCCCAAGGGGGTTGTTTGCCGGTATGTGAATCGGATGAAATTCGCGGAAGGCGTAGTTGGCCACTTTTTGCTCGCAAGCAGACTCATCATATTGTTCATGGACAGATGATATGTGATCTACTATTCGCGCCCACTGTTTCTATTGCTGTATCGCTAATAAACCGAGTCCTCGAAACAACCGGGACAAACAGGAATGACCCTCAGAGTCACCTCAAGATGAGGAATGAGGTGGCAGTAGCGATGGTTGTTGCTCGGACATCATTTTGCCTTAGATTCACCAAAGTAGCTTTGAGGTGAAAATTCGCTTGTTGCCATTGATTATCGGCACTGAGATGGCTCGAGCCTCGCTTCAATCCAACAATCACGACGGGGGTGATCGCCGATCACCGCCGACCAGTCAGCGATCGATACTTTGATTGGCCACGAAGTCGTCTCCTTGCAGAAAGGCTCGCTATTGCGGGTAGCATATTTCTCGCACCCTGTTGGCCGCTGTTCACAATAGCCGGCGTCTCTATTAGCAGTGACGATCGCGGACAACCCTTCCGCAGGCATGCCGCTTTGAAGTGCATCAAACACTGACCCATATCAGCATTTGAAACATTGGCCATCGAGCTGGATACAGACATTGAAAAAGAGAAAAATATCTCCTCATTTTTTTTTCTCTCCCCCTGTTCGCTAATGAAACGCGATCTAAAAAGGAATGAATGGATGGCCCGATGTAGGCTACACCCACGACGACTTTGGAGTCGGGCAGGCCAAATACGGACAAAGCTACCGCAACGAAGATAATGAGGCCAGCCTGTACCGAAGCGACATGTGTCGCTACACATATCCTACTGTGAGTCGGGGTGTCATTCCCTTATGACAAATGTTGCTGTCGACTCGGTCAGCATACGACCAGCGCTAACACTGTCTTCATGTTCTACTTCAGGCTTGGAAACGGCATCGGTATAAGGCCGTCAGCTCTCATGGTTGGAATCTATAGGTTTTAGGTACATGCAAATACGTGTATAGGGTGTTTGCGCATTGGTATCGTCGATGTTGTTTGGCTGAGGTGAAATCGAACACGACTATGATTTCGGTCTCCAACGATCGGTTAGCCAGCCTGCAGAAATTATAGTAGTTTGTATCGATTCACACATTTGGGTAGGGAGAGTAATATAATTATTAAGTATTTTACGGTTTCTTTGAAACTCCACGTTATACAGGCAGCACATAGACTTTTCACGACCTCAGCAGCTCACAGTCAGCCCTCGCTACCGTACAGATTCGGCGGAAAGGCTTTTGCTTTTCGAAATTTTGTGTTCAATGAGCTGCCATCAGCAATGCCAGCCAGCCAGCCAGCCACCCAGCCGCAAGAACTGTTATTGATCAGAGCTTTCGTAACTAAAATCATTATAGTAGTACCTTATATATCTTACACTAGGAACTAAAGTATACTCAATAGGAAAGTTAAAAATTTGATTTGGGCAAAAATTGCCAGTTTCTTGGCTGGCTTTGCGCCAGTTCCAGTATGATTTTTCTCATAAAAAATAAAAACAACCTCAGTTTAAATAAAAAGACAGCGTTTTACGGCCGGTACCGCCGCTGGGCGTTGAAAGCTGTCTGAATCGAAAAGTTGCTTGATTAATATACTCCGAATGTTAGTTACCAATAGAGTAAATCTGGAGATTTGGTCTAAGAAATGGGAATACGGCTTTTCTTTACATGATTCATTGAAGACTTGATTTTAGTGGTAGCCGTCATAGGCCACATCGAGTGAATACAGTAAACGCACTGGACATTGCTATGGCATACAATAAAAATAGGTGCACTTAACTCAACTTAAAAATCTATCCGGTAAAAAGTCAAACTTTTCAGATCTCGCAATAGTGGTATTAGTAATACGTATAATCATTAGCATACAGACAGTCAGATACACATTTTATAGAGACGGCCCTTATATCTGGAAACAGTCAGATCGTAGTTTCAGCCCAAACGTTATCTAGGAAACCCTAAATCCGCTTAAGTAGCTAATTATTAGCTTGCGAACTTCCGGTAATCTTCGATTTCGGTACAATGCCCTCTTTGTTGCTATAGCCTTGTCTCTCAATCACCGGCTACAGGTTTCTGATAGCTGTGTATCCCCAACTCTTAATATAAAATGGCAGCGGAGAGTATTGTGTACGACGTACAGATGTAGATGGCCCAGTTACGTTGAATTTGCTCTGGATTGCTGAGCTTTTGCAACGAGCACTGCTACCGCAAGTCGGCGGAACGAATCAGGAACTTCAAGTGTTTGTAGCATATATTTAAAAATGGTACACATATGTATATGTGTACATGGTATTTTCGAGCGTTTAGGAGTAATTTTTTGTCGCGTTAGCGAACCACGATAACTATTGTAGATAAGCCCTTGTCGTGGCTTATGTAAGGCAATGACGGTGTGAAGGTCCGTCTGGCTGAATTCGCCGTAGCTGCTAACCGCCATTATTTACTGTCCATTTGTATTTCTCTAGTCAGTTATTGAAGAGAGTTTCGCTGTATTAATATAAAAATACAGAAGTTTCTGTCGAATAAGTTCTAGGGAAGTACGCAGAGGTTTGCGACCGAACATAGACGATGTTGCCATTCTTATCTCCTTTTTATTTGTTAAGAGCCATTTTCATACGCTATTGACTAATGCATGGTGGTGGCTAGACGACACCCCTAGAATAACGTCAGCGAGTCAAGTACATGAGCAAGATAGCACTTTTTGTAGCAGGAAAGGAAGACTGTGGTGGAGTTTGACAAGTTTCCTTCTGAGAGCGGCAAAATCTGCTCAGCCGTAGACAATTAGAGTTCATATCGTTATTTGACTTAAGGTTCAAATGAAATAGGTACCATTAAGCCGAAACCGTTTGCAATCGACCGATCTTTGCTTCTAGTCGCCGACGTTCCATGCAGATAGGTATAAATGGTTAAGCTGGAAGGTGTTAGCTTAGGTCATAGTGGTGTCTGTTTAGTGCTTTTATGTTTTAGTCTTTCGTTTGTTAGTAGCCATAGCGTTATATCATCAAGACCAATGGTGGATTAGATGCTTTCTTCTAAGGTTTTCAAACCTGTCACACTCGTCTTTTTTGTACTGCGAAATTTGAAGTAGAGAAACTCTGTTTTAAAGTGTAATCGCTTTAAAATTTCGTCTCACATAAATATTGTTTTCAAAAAGAAACAGTGACAATATACAATAGCCGATCAAAACTAATTAGAAAATGTTAAAAAGTTGACCGAAAAGCAAAAAATGAAAAAGTGACTAAAAATAATAGTGGATATTATTTTGGTATCTTCTGTGTACCGTCAGCTTATGATGTTCTATATTTCCCCTTGCGTTTATTGTCTTTAATTTCCTTACTAATAATAAAGTTTAAGTTATGCAATTTTTTCGGTAAACTACTTTTTCTGTTTGTTATTTACAATCATTTAATCTGTTTTTAAATACCGTTTCTATTTTATTTTTTATCACATGTTGAAATTGTCGCATTTTGACAAAGGCTACAGTGACTTCATAGAACTTCGCAACCTTCAACAACATAAAAACAGCAAAACAAAAATAGAGGGAGCGAAAAAACCGTAAACAAAAACAGCGAATAATTTTTTGATTAACCTGGTAAAACTTTTTTAAGCGTCGGACAGGTTGAAGAATGTTTGCATACTAAAAAAATGTTTGTAAGGCCAAGTTTGTCCTGGTGTTGAAATTATAAGAAAAAAAAAAAGCGAGTCAAGTACTGGTGAATTACGTGTCCATTTTTTTATAGTTATCGTGGTGGCATGAAAGAGTAAGCTTGCTTACGCTAGACTTAAACTCAACCCCGATATACATACGGGCGACAATTATGGATCTTCCATTAGCTGTAGCTTTTCGAACAGTTAGCACGTCCAATTTGAATCAATCCGGTAACCTGGATTAATTTTAACAGCTTAAACCTACGCGATAGTACAGAATTCCTTGGGTACAGGACTGGTATAAATGAAGCCTGCTGGTGGTAATCTTGCCTCATGGAGTACACTCAGTTGTGGGCCTACTCCCTGAAGTTCAGTAGAAACAAAGCGAATGCGCGCTAACATCACGTATTGTCATCATCACAAAACTAGTTGAGAGACGAAAATTAAAAAAATGATGGCGTCCTTGCAGAACGTTACTTTATAACATGTTGTTAGATATCCACTATTTTTAGGCTAGAATCATGCACTTAAATGAACACTGGTTTCAAGCCAGAAGGGTCTTTCAAAGGGTCGACGTAGTCCAAACCAAATTGTGCTCTAGTTAGAAGGCATCGATGAAGTTACACAGCATCGTCGTTTTTAAAAGAAATTAACCTTGCAAAAGAATGTAACTATTCTAGGCGCTGTTCTAATAACGATTTATAAACACTATATACTTTGTATTTTCTGTTTGATGATTTTCGACGACCTAAGACCCTGTGAGGCGAGAAGCGCATGACAAAGGCAAGAAGAAGCCGTGCTACAGGTAACTAATTGCCTCTCACTAGGATCTTGAGTGTTTCAACAACGTTCCGGACAACAACATTGCTTGACCGTGTGTATTTACTAATCCAATATGGCATATTACAAGAGTCTATCCCAAGGTGTCAGTGCACGCAAGCCAGTCAACCATGTATCACTATTCTATGTAATCCATTATTACTCTGACGAATATTTCGTGTTGTCAGGACACGTAATGAGAAGGTCGACTTTGTCTGATACATCAGACAAATAAGGTTTGCTCCGACTTAACTTTTACAATCTATTTGAAGTGCCTGTTTTACTTCACTGAATAGCAATTCGCTCAGCAACCATATAGCCATTGAAGAGAAAATGAAATAACAAGACACATTTGCTTTAAACGATTTGGTTAAATTAATCTGTGACTATTTCCCGCCCATTAACTGGTATACTGAATGCATACGTAGCCAAAATAGCTAAATTGATGTTCCGATCATTAGGAGAGCCAATGTTTATGCCGTACCCGATTTACGTGCACCTACGCGCACCAGATGTTGGGCTCTGCCAGCTTGTCGGACTAGTCCAGGTATAGCAATCCCGGGTCAACTACTCCAATGGGTAACCATCAGCGCGAGAAAAAAGCGATGTTTGCAAAAGAGAAACTCAAGTTGAATAGGTTTTATGAGCTGTCGTTAATAGTAATTATGAATACCTTGACCTTCTATCCGTATTCTAAACGTTGCCTTTGAAACCGAATACGATAATGTTCAAGAAAGACGGCACATTGAAGAAATTTACGGGATTTGATTCATCAGTTTTCTTTACAGAAGTACTGCGAATACTATATCACTGCTACATATATATATCGTCGTTGAACTGCAGCAAACGATTCTCTTTCGCGAGATGCGGCACCTTGAGTCGTCTGCTCACCTTGACTACCACTCCGTTCCGCTTTTAAAAATTGTTTTCCCTGTCTATTTTTCGGCTCATGTTGCCAGTTTTGTTCATTGTGGGGCCAATAATGGAAACAGTATATGACGCAAGGTTGTCGGCGGGGATCAGGTTAGGCGAAGAGGGTTTGTTGTAGTTTTAGGGGAGGTTAGATGTGGAACTTGCCGTTGAAGTTTTCTCATATTGTCGTTGTATGTATACGACGGAACCGGATCATCATCAACAACAATGCCATCCACGTCGACAGTCACGTCGTGCTCTTTTGGAATGCACGGATCAATTCAGGGTTTAGTTTCTATCAATTCTATTATCAACATTTTTATGATTCCTGATCGTTAGAACAACCTAGAAGCTTGTCCTACTAAATTTCTGCGCAGCTTTTAATAGCCTTTTTGTATTATTATTGATGCTGCATTATAAATAAGTGTCTCGTATAGCTGGCTTGAAATATTCGTCGCATTTATTATTCAACTTTTTTTTTTTTTCTCTCTCGCCGCTTCTCTTCATGGCGGTGTTGTGTAATGGGGTACATATTTTTGGCGACTTTGATGACATCTCCTTTTCGATTTGCCGCCGGTATTTCCATTAGTGACGCGTGGCAGATCGTATACTGTAAATCCAGTTGCATCTCCCGATGTTTTTCTAGTACAATTACAATACAGGCGGCGATTCAGGTTCTACTCTTGTTATGCGCTGTTCCAATATTTGCCCTAACTTCACATATCTTGTCCTTGTATCGTAATACCAGCCGTATCTTTACAATAATAATGATAACAACAACCTTTGTTTCTAACCCCAATTTCGATAGATTCCTGCGAGAATAGGTAACCACCCCGCAGGCGTTTCTGTTCCTTCTTTTATGGGTCAGGTTTTTCATGGATATTTATGAATTATTTACGAGTATTTACGTACATATACGAACGTTAGCCTGCTCTGTTTTTCTTTTATTATTAGCACATTTTTCCTATTATCGCCGCGGACTAGTGCGGCTGCTGCCCCAACGACGTACCACATTTGCTCTGACCTCTATCTGTTTTCTCCATAAATTGTTGGTAATTTTTTTTTCGTGTTCATTGAGCGAAACAGTGTGTCGCTAATTATAATTATTTCTATTATTATACCATCGCCATCATCGTTCATGTATCGTCGTTTCATAGGCATTGTCGTTATTATCTAGCATAAGCAGTCTAGACATTCTGAAGCGGGTCGATGAAAATAGTGTATTTCTTACTTCTATGTTCATAAACTTTTATGTTTCGCTTCTCACTATTTATATCTCTCGAGCGCGTTCTCGTCGGCATCTCGTTTGTTTTCTTCATTTCTTCGTTGAATGAAGATGCCGTTAAACAAATACTATCACTGCTAGAGTCGGATCTCTCTCGGAGAGCAATATTTACAAGCGTACAACAATAATACAAGAATATTACCGTATTGGTTGTTATTATTGTTTTTCTAGTGATGCGTGGATCGGATCGATGGGACGTCCATGTCCAGCGGCGACGAACGACAACGAATCCTTCATACAGGTACCTTTATTTAGAGGAGCGCCATATTACACGGAACTGCGGCAGTCGGGTAGCAGATAACCCGTAACTTTTCGATTTAGACTTTTCATCAAGACTAGATATTGTTGCCGAAACTGTATAACTTCAAATACTTCTAGACTGAATCAGGTAAAGTGAAACAACAGTTTATCTTCCAGTTCGTCGCTTTTGGAAGACCACGCCTCATCGGCCATAAGTTAGTGGTTTCTATCCATATATATATATATATATATTCATTAGAGTAGTAATAAGGGCATTGCTAGAATTACCGAATATCGTCGTTAATCAGTTTTCTGCTCGGTGCCTGATAAACAGTGATAGCAGCGACAGTTATATTCATTTATCTAATATTAATAGTATTATTATTTTATTTATACTTATTCCATTATTATTATTATTATTATTAAACTAATCAAAAAGAACTCGGTTACTTGACTTTGTACATAACCGCTGTTGACTGTTTCGCAGACAAGCTGCAATCTTCGCGACAGAACACTGCTCGAACGCTGCGGGCAACGATACATATGAATGTCAAAATGATCATGGCTGAGACCCATAACGAAACCATGAAGAAGTCTAAAAACGGAAACGTCATCAGGCCAAATTTTATTGAGAATAATGTATCCGTGATACTCAATAATAACACGAACTTTGAGTGCGTTAAAAGCGTCTGCGTACCCCGCGTCATGGCAAACAGGTTGGCGATGAGAGGGATGGGAATCACAGCGCACAACGTTGTCCTCGCCGCCATTAGGTGGGCGTGCGGCGAGATATTGAAGAAGTGCTTATACAGGAATGTGTTTAGCTCTGATATTTGACCGACGAATAAGCTGAGAAAGATTGCTAGCGCAAGATCCATGCTTGGTCTTCCGGCAGATCCCGTCTCCTCCACCGAAGCTGCGTTCGCTGCTGGACTTACGCCAATGTGCTTCGAGGACGTGGAGCTTATAAGACATGTTAGGTCTCTGGATGGTTTTTTAGCTTTGTGGCATTCATACTCTATCCGATCTCTTCGCTTGCCTCGATCGTCCTTATCGTAGAAAATAGCATCTGGCGACTTACGTCGCTGACCAGATACACAGCAGAAGGTTATCAGTCTTCGGCTGATCCTTTCCGAGTGCCAGTCGAACATATGTAAATTATTCATTTTGCAGAATTGCATGCCGATATAATAGCCTAACCCATTACAGATGACAACATCTAAAAGGATACGATCCCACCAGCACTCTGCGAAATTCGGAAGCAGATGCACGAAGCAGTACTCGGTCATCTCCCACACGATGCTGTATATCCATAAGATTTCGTATTGGCGAAAGATGATCGCTTTAAAGGCGCATCCGACGAGATGAGCGACGGCAAAGATGTCGAGGTGAGTGTAGATTTTTTGCCAGGTAACGGGGTCACAGTTGACCCCGTACTCGGTTCGTAAGCTGACCGCTTGATTGCTCTGTGGAAACACACTTCGCACGGTCCGTGAGTACGTGTCAACGTCGTGGATGAAAAGGAGGGCGTATAAGTTACACAGATTGCAGAAGATGACTAACCCGGTAAACAGCCGCCAGCCGTACTTTAGCGGCGGATAGAATGGATCCTCAGGCAGAAACAGCACTGACAGAGTGAGCGTACTGGCCAACGCGGCCATGCTGGTCCCCGATGAGTGCTTCACAAACGAGATGACTACCTGTGTTGGAAAGAGGGCCATAGAAACACACAAGGACAGAGAGCGACAAAGAGGTAGAGACAGAAACAAACATGAGAGAGAGTGTGGTATAAAAACAGGTATACGTGACGGCAGAGGAGACGCCGACGAGAGCAGCAACAGCAGCCGCATTAGATATGGGCGACCGCAAAAATAGATTCACCTGTTGGAAACGCTTATTCTGGGTATCTACTCCTACCTATCACTGCTGCTGTATAGAAACTGTATGCTAGGACAGTAGACAAAAGAATTAGGCGAGCAGTCTATTGGGCGTCCAGTTGACAGAGGTACTTACCGTCTACAAGCCAAGCTGGGCAATTTTCGTGCGGTATGTTTGCCGCTTGCCCTCCTCTACGCGATGCGTAGGAGCTCCATAAGCATCAACTAACATTGCACTAAATCAACTAAATAGATATAAGCGCTCGTTCTGTTGCAATGGCTGAGCAATAGAATGGATGGGGAGCGAGGCAAGCGGGATGCGTATGATACGTATACATACTCCTTCGTGATGGGGGAATATGAAAGAAATTTTCACTCAGCGAGACTATGAGAGCGCCCCTACCAGGAGGAATATAACCTTTTTTGACCGTGTACAACTTAGCCCTATTAGCTATTAGCTACGGTCGACTGGTTTAATGGTTAGAATATTGGCTAGTGTTTATGTAATTCTCTGCCCATTAAATCTAATAGTGGGGACGGAAGGAAATTATGTGTCGTGTAGTCACAGTTTGCTGCTATATAATACAATAATATATGGCAAACGAAGCAGAAACACGTGATTATACAATACATTGTTCGTTCCTGGGTCCGGCTTTGCCACTGCAACGCCGGTAGCAACGCGATTCCCTTGCTGTCTTGAGCAAACCAAAGATAATAATAAGAAAAAAATGGTGATAACTAGCCTTTCCCATCCGATTCGTATCACCTCAGTCCTACCAATGACCGGACACAAATGTGTCGCATATCGCAGTACCCACCTGCACAATATAGAGCATAAGACAGACGAAGCCGAGACAAGCTACTGCATTGGCCACCTGCTTCTTCGAATGAAGCATCGATAGACGAGACAGCACGCTGAGCTTTCGACGGGACTCGCAGCGCTTTGAGTTAGGCGTAAGAATACAGTCCGTGCGGAAATCCAGCTGCCGTGTGCAGGAACCCATCTTGGCTATGCTTAGCGCTGTCACCCCCTGGGGATTGAGACCGCTTTAAAAATCAAAGCAGTTGAGAGAATAGGCCGTGCGATGCCGATCCGATCCAGGTGGCCCTCGTCACCTACAATCCAGTCCTGCTAAGACGGCAAAATGTCCGGTTCTACATATTCGACGCAGAAAATGCACCACGAAAATACAATAACGCACCACAGGCATTAAAACAAAGATAGCACAGAGACAGAAATCAAACTGCTGTTAGAGGCCGGACGTTCGCATATCGTTGTAATTGCCGCATCGCTTGATATAGGCAGATACAAATAACCTATAACACTGTTTCTGTTATCATTTGATACTTTTGGACAAAATGTACGTAAATACTAGCGTTATTAACCACCATATAGTCCCACATGCTGATGAGGCTTCTCCATCATTCAGGGACACACGTTTACCATTGATAAAACAACCGACGGCAGAGGCTAGGCGTACCTCTAGCCTAATTCGAAAGGACGTCAAAATAAAAAGGGGAGAAAGTGTTTTCTTAATATTTAACGGTGAAGACTTTTGCCTAAAGGTACCGCCTTGTATGTGGCAGCTGTAATAACGCTCTCGACGATAGCAAAGCCGCTCTCGGAGCGTCGTCCGTCGAGTTTCGACATTCGCCGAGTGGCTTATGTAGCAGCCACAGCACCAGCGGCGTTCTCGATCCAACACGCAAGCCTTCGTCGCTCCATGCCGCCATAGTAGACTGCCATTGAATCGGTACTGAGTACACGGAGACATTCCGTGACCTAGTGTTAAACAAACTCGGCGCTCTGCAAACTCGCTGCAACCGGATAGAATGGCCAAGTAATTAAACAGCAGTATCGGACGTAAAAGTCGAAACTTTTTTGTATCGGTCAGCTTATTACGATTTGCGCAGCACGCAGCGAGCAGCAAATAGGCTAGAAAAGGTTGTGGCTCAAAAATAGAGTACGAGCGAGAGGCCAACGTCGTCTCAATAGTCATAAATTTACTCGACAAGTTACTTCGTCAGTGCGGCGGCACTCTTGCATACAGTTTGAATGCAACATTTGCCATCATCTACATACGATAGATACTAGTGCTGTTATGAGCTCTCTGCTGCCGAAAAACTCAAATGTCAGAGACCATCAAGGATCGCAGATTCAAAGATGCAGAGACAAACTGACTGACTAAGACTGCCTGTCAGCTAGCGACGAACAGTACCCGTCCGTAAGCGTGCGTATCTATCTGTTTTTGTGCGCATGTGTGTTGGTGTGCGCCAATAACCGAAAGTCACCTCTTGCTATTATCAGCCTAGAACAAAGCGTCTTCAGATACCTCGAGTAGCGAAAAATTTTAGTCCTTGTTCTCAGACGAAAACGACTACGGCAAGGCCAGCAGGATGCTCCCCCACGTATACTAAACAACATGATTCCACCTCGATTCTTTTTCTATTATCAGCCACTTTCCTGCCGTGTCTAGCTGCGTGTGATAAATATTCCAGTAGACGCAAAAGGTCAGGCGCACGTTCGTTTGAGCACGTTTCAAACAAGTTAGTCCTAACGACCCTCGTCATAAGACCCATGGATGTCTGTCGTGGCCGCATCCGACGATGTCGCAAAGCACCTACTAACAGGACAAAGGCGCGAGTTACAAGAAAGTGACAAGTGAATGAGTGGAGATCAGAGGATTCTGGAAAAGCATGTATTTACATAGAGTATGGTTACGTCTGCCTGAATGTTAATTATTAATCTATACTTTACACGAAATGGTCGAATAAAATCTGTTGGATAGTTTGAACCTACATTTCTATAGATTGGGTAAAATAGTTACAGACTAAGCCAATACTCAACCTGGTTATTTTCGTGGTCGAATACTCGAGTGCGAAATTGGATGAACTGAATTTCTTACATAAAACATATGTACTCATACTTAGCTGCTATAAGCTAATTTAGATCTCGGCAAACTGCAACTAAGTAGTTAGCAGTTGTAGGGAACGCTACCAATTTATTCGTCTTTCCTGTTTTTCTGGAGACGTGAGGGCTTTTTGTGTACCATGTGTCTGTATGAGAGAAAAACAGAGAGTTGGACTGCACAGGTCTCGGAATGTATTTTTCTTTATAGCAGTGGCTTGTTAATTGATTTCCAAGGTGTCCTTTAGAAAACGAAGTAGGTGATACAGATGAGCTTGAGTCAGACAACATCCACGACGATGGTGGCGGCAGCGACCCACCTTCCCATTAGCCACAAAGAGTCTACCTTCATTTCCCGTGTAAAAATGGCTCTACGTGAGCTAGTTACGTAAACGACAGCTGTGAACAGAGCGTGAAGAAAAGTCAAGGCCGATAAGTCGATGTCCATCATCTGGGGGCGAGCCCCGAACCATCTTCGTCAAGGGGCATGAGTGACGCCAGCAGCAGGGGATTTCTAGCAGCAAGCAAGCCGGTTGGATATATTGAGTGTTATCGCTTGGCTGGGCTAGGTACTAATTAAGGGAACACAACGTTTGCACACGTTACCTACAACTGGCAAGTGTCAGAAACGTAGTGCTCAAAAGTGACGGCGCCACTTTTTGCCATCAGCAGCCTGAGCAAGCTTGGTCGGGATGACCTAATTGCTCTATTGTAGGCCACGACTATCATCTGAGGTTACTGTTCTGATAAAATGTCACAAAGGTGGTACCATCACTCGCTGATGATGCTGTGTTGCTTTTTTTTTTTTTTATATATATATAGAGAGAGAGTGAAGAACCAATGAGTGGGGGAAGAAAGGAAGTGAGGCGCACGAGATAGGTCAATATCTTGCCGTCAGTACTTCTGTACTCTGGTGCATTGAGCAATAACAGTTTATAGTGGCGCAGCAAGTTCTAGCGTCATTTCGTCGATTTGTTCTGTATCACGTGTAACGCACGGACCATTTTGTAAGGATCCACTACTCACTTGGATTAAAGGACAATTAGTTGCTGTGAGCGTGCTAACCCGGTAAGATAATTCTATTGGTATCTACCCAGTCTCGATTAGTGCAACTACTTATTTATGCGATGACTAAAAGTGCTCGGTCTCTTGTTTGCGGTGATGTTTGTATCCGCACACGTATGTCTGTATGCACTTTAATCATATAGTTGTTACTATAGGTGCACGCGCATAGGCACTGACGCGTATATCTAGCTCAGTGGATAGCTATGACTGAAAATCGCTGAAGCAAATATCACTCGCCCGTTAGGCACATACGCAGGAGGGAACAGAACACGGCGACAAGGAAGGAAGGAGAGCTACGGGTTAAGAAGACGCATGTTGAGAAGCTGCTTTAAATACGCTATGACCGCTGTCAAATCCACTTGTCACGTTATATTTGACGTAGTCCGCAAAGCGTGTTCCGGAAAGTTTAACTGACGAAATTGTACTTTACGAAAGCCAAACGATCACACTGCCTTCGTAGGTAGACGTACTTCGGTCAGTAGCAGAAATAAAAGTCTTGTGGTATGAGTACCGCCATGGATGTAAGTGAGACACGGAACGATATCAGACCGTTTCGTATCATGTAGTAAGCCTTGGATTCATCCAAGCTCAAAGAGACTGCGGCACATGAAAACTACAGATACGATAACAACATTTTTGCTACACTTCCTGTAGAACGCATGGATGGGCATTTGCTCCTGGGAAGCGTAGTGATAATATATTGCTGTTGCATCCGACGGAACAATCCAATGCATACACTGATGCATGATTGACACCAATTTTTGGCAGATTTTCAATTAGCGAGGAGAACGGTGCGTGTTGGTCTGAGATGGTTCTCGGCTTCGTCGGCCATCGTGGGAAAATCTGAGAAGCGCGTTACTGCCACGATGGATGAGTTATTTGCCTTACATATGTATTATGCCTTGTCACGACCATTTTAGTTCAATTTACTGGCCCAAGCTGGATTAGATATACTCAGGGATATAGTTAGTGTAACCCGTTCTGTTACCCATATATGTAGCTGGAAACTTCTCTTCTCTCGAAAAATCTCTTGGTAAGCAAGTCTGTCTAGGGTGTGTACTACAGTCAAGCAAAAATAAGGCTAACAACATTATCCTGCAATGGTTACCATCGGCCAGATTGCCAATGGCATTCTGCTTGAAAAACGGTCAAGATTTTGGTAAAATTGTACAAATACACTGAACTGGGATGCTCTCTAATCTTGCTATTTGTCAATCCCGTAAGGGCAAGAGATTTAGCGCGAGGTATGAGTCAGGACAATATTCGACATACGAAATTCGGCTCCAGCTATGCTACAATGCCACGCGTCCAATCATATTTCCTCTCCGAACTGATTCGACAAAGGGATCTTGCATTGTAAGAAAGCCATGAATCGTTTACCAAGCTAGGAGTTGTGGAAGTGTATTATTAAAAGCGTACAGCAGAAGTGTGACAGAGCTTTAGCGGTTAAAAAGAGGGAGCTTTATTGCTATTGCTGCTGCCTGTTGACGGAAAGTTGTAATGCTCTTGGCTGGTTACAATGTTGTCCATACCAAAGAGTTATACAACGTTCACTATGGGTATGGTGAGTAACCGGTCGTCCTCGCAAACGAACATCGCTGAATTGCTTATCCAGCTGGACAAAGGAGAGCGACGTCGCAGTAGCTTCTATGGCGTAGACTTCCTTGATGGCCAGATTTAGTGGACCGAAGATACAGCAGGGCTGCTCATTAACATATGGGGGGTGGTTAAAGTGAGTTAGCATTTTCACAATTCTTTCGCTATCCAAACCGTATGACTTCTTTCGAGCAATTATATAGCGCAAGTTCGAGCACATCGCGGTCACAGGGCAAGATTTGATGTGTTTCATACTATAAAATCGTATCGGGCACGGGTTAGCCTTATGAAAAATGGTAAGAGTCATTTCGAGCGTACTTTATATTTATAATAGAGTCAGTGGAATGTACACGACCCGATACTCCTAGGTAATGCCGCCCTATAGCGGTGTATTGTCGTTGGGTTTAAACGTTGTTAGCCGCATAACCGTACCGGACAAATGATATTGATTGGAAATTAATCCCTCCGCAACTTTTTTTCGACGACCTTTCTTTCGTTGTCCGCATCGATTAGTTAAGTAAGACACTTAAAAATAGATAATAATACACTCCGTTTTTTTATAAATGAGATACCTAGCGCCGCCTTAGACAATTTACTAACATTGGTTCGTATTTCGTTTGCTTACTGTCTTCCGCTTGCTAAGTGATGCAAATCCCGTAGATCCTAACGCAACCCCCAACCCTTATACTTACCTTCCGGCTATCTCACCCCTTTGTCCTTTTATACATAGGTCTAGTCCTAATTGTGTTACTTCGTGGCAGCTATAAACTCGATCCCGAAGGAACAACTAAGGCAGCTGATGTAATTTAACTCTCTACCTAAAAGTCATTAAATTCACCGTGTATTTTCTCATAGTTCCCAAAAATATCACTCGTAATTTTTTCCTTTTCGTCTGTAGATTGTTGATATTTTCAGAAGGACAAGGCTAAATTTCCAAAAAAACAGTCCAGTTCTTCAACTTCGTCTTGAATTCTACTCTTATCTTCCTGTTCTTTTGAGTTTGGCAAAAGTTACTTGATTCGGATGTTACTTGCTTTCTGGAGCAGTGCTCAAAATGTACATTGTCAGCGTCACTGTGATGGTTGGGTATTTCTCAATGTGCGTAAAGTTTTGATACAGCTGATATCCTGTCTGCAATGCTCCGAGGATATGTTTATGACTAATTTATGACGTAAGGGTTCATCTGAGTGAACATTTCAGAGATTCATCTGCCGCTTTACAACCTCTCAGAACTTTTTGTTCTTATTGTTGTCTATGTTATGCGGACCTTTTTTTATTTATGGAAAATAAAGACTGCTTTATTTTCGCTGCATTTATATACAGAGTCTCTCAGAAAACGTGTCAGTGCAGCCGAAAATTAGAAAGCGGCCTGTTGCAAATGATGCCACTTTGGCTAATCAGTTTTCTTTACCACTCTCTTAGATTTGAAGTTAGTATTACTAAAAGAGTAGCGATTCTGCTTAGACATCTTCGATCACTTCTAACTGCCCCGCATTTTTGTTCAGGCAACGGTACACAACCCTATATTAGTCGTCGACCTAAATATCTATGTAAAATGTTTATTTTCGTTTCAGCCTACATTTCTGGTTCATTTCTCTGAAGCCTAAATATGTATTTATAAATACTTAAGCTTATATTTTTTTTCCTGTTCATACCTCTTTTTACTTATCGTAGAACATTGGTCACAGCTTGGAAACTAAGTGACTTTTGAATTCGGCAAAACTACGTCACATGTACAAATTCCGAAATTTCCTGGTCTTTTCGCCGCCTTCTTCATACTTCTTTAATATATCCGAGTTTCATGAAGTTTCTTTTTTTCACTTACAAATCACTTAATCAGAATCCTTTTTTTTGTCAAATCACCACGATATGCCCAATCGGCCTATTCTGACAAGTGCTGACACCGCCCACATGCCTCAAATGCAAACCCTGTTGCTAACTGCTGCGTCAAGACCCAGACCAGCAATTTCTCATAAACTCTAATCAAAACTAATTGCCTCGAAAAACGTCTTTTTTTTTTTTAAAAAACGTTTACAGCGGTACATAGCTATCAACCATTTCAGCTAGGATATTTCTTCTCCTTTAAGAGAAAAATGTTCTCTTAACTCATATCCTATACTTTTCTCTTTTTTGTAACACTACTAGTTAATACATCTTAATTGAATATTAGATAGTTTAGGTACGGATTGAATAGTTTTATCTATTGGTTACACTAACGCATGTTACTTTAGAGTTTTTCTAATTGAATAGGTTTATTCCTAACTAGTACTTGTAGGGAGTTGTTGCTTGTCTCGAGCCGATTTTTTCTGAGGAATTTTCCTAATTTCGCTACTACTCCGACTACTACGATTCCGTTAGTTTAACGTCACGTCCAAAGTTAGCTACCGTAGCTATAAACTGTAACAAAAATTACGACCGTGACATCATTTTGCCAACCTTCAACCTGAATAATACAGAAGTGTGAGTGGGCCTGTATCCCACTTGGGAGAAACGTATGTTTAGACTTATAGAATGTAATGCGTAGATAAGCTATGAAATGGAATGAGTGACGAATCCAATGAGGTAGTGGCTGGGTGTATAGACCTTGCGCGTTCTCACTGCACTTAGAGCTTCGCTCACTGGCTAGTGTTGCCATACATAGTAGCTCTCATGGCTAACCACCTTTGCCTTGATCGGCCGCATAGTCAAATGTCACAGCTCATACTAAATAACACATGGTGAAAAGATCAAATACCTATTTCTATATTCTGTGTGTGTTGTGGAATATCGTTTAAGGGCACACCGTCAAAGAACGTTTGCATCCTTTTGCGCCTCCTACACTGGCGATTCTTGTACGTTGAATGTCTGTAGAAAACACAACAACAAAACGTCCATGCAAACGTAATTGGCAACGACACTACTAAATGTAATTCCTCAAGAGTGTAGGCACCATACGAGTGGAAGGGGCAATCTATGGCCCTCAGCAGCTTCGTGAAATACCACTAACTCAGTGCTCACACAGGCCTGGACGTTTCGATCACCGACCTCAATTCACAACTCACGTCAACACTAGCAACCAGTGATGGTAGCTAGCTATGCGGTGCCACTAATGGCAAGACGTTGACTAGCATCTTGCCTTTTGCCTGCTTTTTGCTGGTATAACGTCGAATGACCGCCACCGTCTATCAGTGACCGGCAGCATCTCCAAGTGGCGACGGACGTTGTCGTTTTCCGGCCTGAAGAATCTTGGTAAAATCAGCACACTCATCAATAGCTAGGTGCTCATTCCATGTCTCCGATATAGTGGCATTTGTAGTCTAACAGAACGCCTCTCTGTTCGGTAGCCCGGTTGCAGCGGTGACGGTGGTTGTGGTGGGAGACCGAGACCTCCGCAAAGGGGGAGCAGCCACGCGGTTGAAGGGGCGCGAGAGCGGCCGTGGAGGAGGGCAGCATTGTGCAGCAGTACAGCATAACGGCAATGGAAGTATGTGTTATTGGGGCATCTGTCCACCAAGGTAGTGGAGTGTCGGTCTAACTGTTCAAATGGGCGGAGGGGGTGAAACGGGTCTGCTACTGTACTATGTACTAACGAAAGACTGCACTGATGAAAGCAGAGCAACGCCAGGCTGAATGAGCTAGCCACCAAGCCAACACAATGGCGGGCGGGACTAAGGGATGATCAGCTAACTAGCCGACCGATTCAGTCGGATTCGTACTGAGTCTTGCAGCTTTGTCTGTTCCCGCTGTACAGATGCGAGTGTACGAGACGTCCATGAAGACGAGATAGCACCACGATGAACGGCCACCGCCTCAGCCGTAATCACAGCGACAGCAGCAGCAACAGCTAGGAAGTATGGCCAAGAAGCAGTGAAGCTGAAAGTCAGCGATAGCAGCCACAACTAAGGACGTTATTCTTTTACATCGGCAACAGTGGCCACGGTGACAATGGAAATCAGCTGACTGTCCAACCCGCACACAAGCATTTCACTGTAGTTGAAGAGTATGAAGCGACAGAAGAGCTCAGCTTCAGTTTAAGGGGCACTGAATATTCAGTTTACTGAGGCCGATTTAAGTCAGCCGGCTGCTGGTTTTTCCCTGTCCTGGTCAGAGCTCTCTTTTCTGTTGTCCGCTTGCGCTTTATGTTGGAATCTACTTTTCTAGTCTGGGCCTGCCGCCTACTCGTCGACAATCTCGTTTACAAGCGGTTTACCGGTTTCTTTTTGACTCGACGACTCACCGATTTTCCAGCAGCGGAAGCAGCAGTAGAAACGGTGCTTTCTTCGTAGAAGTATTGATCAAGAGGGAAACTCCTCTAAGGATTTCCAACGAAACATTAGTTTCTGGCAGCGCCACATCAACACTACTTCTTCTACTCCTGGAGAACAGCAGCCACCAAAACGATGGTTTAGTTTCCTTTTATTGTTGTTTCTAACGAAAAAACGAGATGTCTCCAAACATTACCGATTTGAATGCAGCCGCTGCTTCGGCCTTTGCGTTAGCTATTTTTCATTCTTGACTGTTGCCAATGTTGGCCGAAATGCTATTGCTGAGCCTTATAAGGCTAAGAGGTTCATGAAAGAGTTCCTATTACGCCTTGTCATGGCGCTCGAACTGCTAGGAACGTTACACCGTAAACAGATACTAGAGACCTCTATTACTACACATAATCACATTCTTATAAAGAATTCTTAGTACCACTACTAGAAGTATTATGCTACATACAGTAGTACGAAAAGTAGATGGGCCTTATTTGATTACGCTGAGGAAAGAAGCCTCCTGCAGTATGGACTGGAGATCCACGAAGTGCCATGACTGCGTACAATCGGCTGCCAAATGTATGCTGTACATGTCTTTGTCGCCGTCTATTTGGAGCAGGTTGATAGTTGCCTACTTCCTAACCGAATAAGAATTTGTTTGGCTGGGCTTTTTAGGCATAGATACAATTCATTTTGTGCTGCAAGCTAGTCGCCTGATAGGGTGTCTAACGGCGATACCGGACGTAACACACGAGGTTTTTTAGACTAAGAAATAACAGGGAATTAGGCAACGGCAAGAATATACCTCAACAAACCTAACCATAGATAGTCTAGTTGTACCGCTGAAGTCAGTCAGTCACACCCACCAGTCTCACAGTCTCGGCACGCCGAGCGTTGCTCGCTCGAAAGATTTATCATTATTTGCCGTGGAAATGGGTAGCTTGCTCAGCAAGTTAAACAAACTACCTTGTTCTTGGTCGGGGACAAAAGGAAATATAAGGTATCATCTGCCCGCTCGTGAAATAATTGCGCTTTGTGATACTTCAGTCCATAACGTTTGCTAGATATCGCTTGTCACTGCTTGCTACCACTTTCATTTACTTTGACTAACCTGGATACTACTATTTCCGCCTGGCGTAGGACACTGCATCCAGCCTGTCCCGTTCCGTTCATTCATCGTAGACGGCCAGTATAGAGCCGTGAGGCGGACTTTCCGCAAACGCCCAGGATAACGCCCATTGGAGACTGGGGAACGACAGTGCTGTGCAATGGATATTCTAGCAACTCCGTTTACGTTGCCAGTATAAACTTGTTATGGCAAAGATGAATCAACGGCTGGAAATCACCCTTTCTCTCCATCCTTTCCTCTCCATCAACAGTTTGTCACTTTTTTTCGTCATCCATCATTTTGATTTTCCAAGAGCGAGCGAAAACTCTTCCGTCTGTTTGTCGCTGTCGCCGGAACACCTTATATGTACCTGAAGGACAAGGCCCGGCCGACGGGTAGATCTCGCGTGTGGTTGTCGACGGAGAAGTGTTTCGTGGCGAAACAAGAAGGATCTACCGCCACGGCTACCGACGAGCAGGCCTGATGCCTAAGACAATTTTGGTCAAGTGGACGCTACGAGCATGCGAAGTAAGACTACAAGAATAATTTTAGGTACACCATCATGGCATAAATGTAGCACAAACTCTGGGATTATTGCTAGACTGTTTTTGCACGCAAAGAGTGAATAGATGTTTTCTTTCGTTGCTAGGAGAGCATATATACGAGTGTGACGTCGTTGTGAACTTTAGACATAGAGTTAGTATAATTTCGTATAAACTTGAATGGTACCAGATAAAGGAGTTATTTGATGCTCATCAATAGATCACAGTGGCAAAGCTACGTCAGAGAATGATCTAGCAATCGGAACGTCCCACGAGTAGGAGGGAAATCCGCACCTCCGGTTTACGATGAGCTAGATAGTCGGGCAGGATTTTTTATTGAAGTAGCGCATTAATTTTAATCCTGTAGAAAATCAAGATGCACATTTTGGCTATTCCCTGTTCGTTGACATTATCACAATTTCTAATTATGCCGCTGAAGCTTGAAAAGCTGTGGCGTTGAGCACTGCAACGCTGCTTGCGCAGTTTATCTTTTTTTTACCTTTTTATTAGGGCACTTATTTACCGTGTCAACGGATGAATGAATACCCTAACTTATCCTGTGTACGCTAAATACGTGAACCAGATTAAGATATTATAGGTAAAGCACCAATGACTGTGCGAAAACTATTCGTTGTTTCGTTTCTAGATTTTTCATTCGTACGCAGTCGGCCTCGTGGCACATTGAATTAACCGATAACAATAGTGAAAATAAAGTACATTAATAAACGGGTGCATTAAATAAAAAACGTGCAGACAGCACTATACAGTGAAACTCAACTACGTAGTAGAAGTTCAAAAACCCTTAAGGTTCGATGTTGTATATGTTAATCCTACAGAGAAGTTTCAGATGCGCTTCTTCAAAGAAGTAACTTCGAATAAATGGCACTTAGGATCGCTTACAGTATACATTAAAGTATATTCCATCGTATAATGATTTGTCGATCGTTCTATATCGACAGATCTCATGCAATTACCTATGTCATATAAACGAAAGTGTACCATTTGTCAGATATTTATGCTCATGGACCAGTACTCTGACCAAAACCTTCGTCGGGAAGGGCTTAAACCCTTGTCATGTTGTTGTAGTGTTTTTGACGCAATATCTCTAAAAAGACGCGTATCATTTATGAAAGCGAAGTTTTCTAAGGCAGGATTCCCTAAAAGTGTTTCCTACTTGGTGTCACATAAAGTATTACCTCTATCGGAGTTGAGACCTGTATTAGCTGCCAGTTCTCTCTTTGCCTGTGTATGTGCAAATTTTAACAGCCCAGTTCCCTGCTATTTGATGTGCTACTGCTATTGTTATAATCGATTCATTCGAAATCGTTGCTTTTTTCGTTATAGCAGCCTATGGAAAATCGTTGAATAGGCACCCCTTATTGGACACCGGAGCGGTTTCCACCGAGCAGACGACAAACTTTTAAATGAGTTACACCCAGCATCATACAGATATTGAAATGACTATAACGATAACAGCAAAGCTAATAACGACAGTAAACGTAGCAGAATAAAAACCGCTACTAGATTGCTAGGGGCCAAGCGAGGACGAGGTAAGGAAATCGTCTTCAGATAAGGCAGTTTTCGAGCTCCAGAGCTCATCCTAGCAGCCCTAGTCGCCACCGTCGTGGCCAAAGACGGATTTCACTTCGCTTTTTGCTTCCTCATCTCGTTCTCCGTCCATTGATTTCGTTTTCGGCAGATGCTAGCAGAGTTGACCCTCAAGCAGGCGGAGAATTTGTTCTGTGGCTACTGGGTCGCTACGCGAATATGCGTAGACTCGCGCAAACATTACTGCCCTATTTTTCCAAGGTCAGCTGGGAAAGTATGCCTGAACAT